TTGGCGCCCACGGGAGCCGGCCGGCGCGGTGCAGCGTCCTCGGCGGCGCCTCAGTCGGCAATAAAGTGCACAAACGACACGGGGAAGGCGCCCCTGCGGCTGGGGTCGCCGTCGATGTGGCCGATCTGAAAGGAAGGACAGGCGGGTCGTGGGGCTCACCCGGAACCCGGAGGCGCGGGCCGGGGACGCTCAGGCACACTGGCGGGGCCCTGGCGCAGGCGGCAAAGCGCCCCCCACGCGCGCCCTGTTTCGGGGACGATGGAGAAACCGCGTGTCTGCAGCCGGGAGCTGCAAACCTGTCTCGGTCCCATTTACGCTTGGTCTCTGGGAAGGCCTGAGGACGCCCCTTCACTGCCCTTCTGGGTAAAATGATGCAGTCTGACCCCAATTACGTACGGAGACACCTAGACAAAGTTGCCCGGCAGACACGGGGGCTCCATGCCTTGGGGGCGGCAGAGACCACGCAGCCGCCACGTCTTCTCTGCGCCTGAGTTCCCGCCCAGCCCCCGTCACTGCCTGCGCTGCTGTGTCCCATCCTCAGGGTCATCAGGAGCACCCCCCTGCCCCCACTCACCCACACGTGGAGGGCACGGCTCCGTGCTGCCACCCAGGCCCCCACCTCATGGGCCCGTTATTGAGGCCCTGTCTCATCACGGGACGGACACAAGGCTGCGGGGCGCCCGCCCCTCGGGCAGGCTGCGGGTGCCCACCTGGCACGCCCCCGCCTCTGCCGCGCCCCCAGGCCGAGCTGTACTGCCCACCAAGACTCGCGTCCGAGTCTTGTGCCATCTCCTGCCTGCGCGGCTCTCTCGATCCTTCCCAGGGACCCTTGCGTGTCTGCTCTTCCTCCTCCGCTTAACCTCAAACCATCCGCTTGTTGGGGCCTCTGCTGGCTTCTAGCAGCGGGTTTGCTGCCCGTCACCCCGCTGTGGAAACACCCAGCACTGGCCTCTGCCCCCCATGAGGCTGCACATCGCCCCAGGCGCCTGCCTGTGCTGGTGGCAGCACGGTACTGCTCGCGGCCACGTGCCCTTCGGCGTGGCATTGCCATCTGTGCGTGGGCACTTCGGGGGCCCCAGTCCTGGCTGCTGGACATGTGCTGCTTAGGCTCTGTCTGTGCCCCTCACTCTCCCCAGCGACATGGGGAAGACGGGACCACCTAGGGCTCAGGGCCTCAAACGCAGGAACCTCTCTTCAGATCCGGCACGCTCTGGAAACCGGAGCCCAGCGGCCGACCGCCCTGCAGCGGAGGCCCCTCCCCCCGGGATTCTGCGGCCACTCAGAAGCGGGTACCTGGGGGACACTGAGGACAGCAGGGGCCCGGCACAGGCCGGGGATGCGCAGGCGGGAAGCTGTGCCTGGAACTCACTGCCTCCAGGGCCTCCAGGCCCCAGCCCTGACTCACCCACCACTCTTGGTCCTCCTCCCCATCCACGATGATCACGTCCCCCTCGGAGAAGGTCAGCTCATCCGGGTTGTCGGCCACGCAGTTATACAGGGCCTTGACCCTCTTGGGCTTCAGCTTGGTCTGCATGGGGGAGGAGAGGGGTCACGGGTAGTGTGGCCTGGGGCAGAGACCGGGACGCCTGGCTTCCAGCTGGCCCCGAGGGTGCGGTGCAGGCCAGGGAGCTCGGGGCATCAAGATGGTGGTCTTGGGGCACAGGGCCTCTAGGAGCCGGTGGGAGAGAGCAGGGAAGAGACCGAGGCTGAGAGCAGAGAGCTGGGAACGAGGTAGCCAGAGTGGGTGTGCACACAGCTCTGCTCCAGAACCCAGAGTCGAAGTGCCAGGGCCCGTACATGCCTCCTGCGCCCGAGCTGCAGCAGGCCGCTCCCTCAGAGCCTCGGAAACCCCCGCCGCCCCTAGCCAGAGCAGAGGCAGGAAGAGGGGTGTGCACTGACCGTCTGGGACTTCCTGGGCATGGGCGCCGGGGGCTGGAGGACCACCGAGCCGGACAGAGCACCCAGGGCGTCTGTTCCCGAGGGATCCGCTGCTGCAGGGTCAAAATAAAGCGACGTCACACTGGGCCGGCAGCAGCCCCGCGGCGGGCAGACGCGCCGTCCGGAGGGGCCCGCGCCGCCCGGCCCCTGTGGGGAAAGCCCCTCCACACGCGAGTTCCACACGCCCCTCCGAGCGCGCCGGGGCCACCGGCTGCTCCCAGCTGGAGGGCCAGAAGGGTGCGCACCGGACGGAGCAGCCAGAGCAGCCTCGGGCCTGGGGCGGGGCCCCGCCAAGGAGGGACAGCTGGGCTCTGACCCCAGGCTGACCGTGCTAGAGTGTCCCCACTTTGCCACCCGAGAGCAAGCAGAGGAAACCCCAGTTCCGAATCGAGTCATACCAGGGCCTCGGGGCTGGCCTTTGTTGATCAGCGGGGTTGACTTCTCCCTGCAGAGAAGGGAAACAGACTGACGGACGGAAGCCCAAAGCCACGGCCCGCTGCTCCCCGGCCCGCTGCACGGGGGCCGCCTGTGTGCAACGGCTGAGCCGCTCTCTGGACAGCGCTCAACTGCCAGCTTGCGAAGGAGGCGGCGCTGGACCCAGGTGTCCTGGCCCACGGCAGGGCTCCGCCCACGGGGCTGGGGGTTTCCACGCGCCCTGCAGCACTGCACCAGGCCTGCTTCCAGCCGGCCACACCACCAGCTCCACCCCTCCCGAGGGCCGCAGTCCCTCCGTGTGAGGACAGGGCTGGCTGGACACCCGGGCCTGATGGCCGGCTGGGGCCCGTCTGGGCACCAGGCACCACCCACCTCCATGCCGTGTGGCCCGTCGCTGTGCGGCTTGACCAAGGCTTGGGTTCCCCGGGAGCCTCTGGCCAGTACTGCGGGGGGTCTATTAACTTAGACTGACCACCTGGCTGGCCCTGCGGGATGGCCTTCTGTGAGCGGGCACTGTCACCTACGAAAGGTGTGACAGGAAATTTGCCACCTCCCGAAGTAAGGACGTGGCCAGGCACGCTGTGAGGAACAGAGGGGCTCTAGCCAGGTGTCCCTCGGACACGCCGGGCCGGTCACCAGGTCACCAGACCGACACCAGCCCCACAGCCCCTGGAACAGGGGCGAGTACCCACAGACAAGCCCCGGCTTCTCGCTTTTGTCCGCACTGAGAGAACCCACTTTCCCCTGACACGGGCCCTTTGTGGAGGAGCTGAAGGGGTCAGGCTGGTGTCCCGACCGTGCTGGCTGACGGTGGCCGGAGACCCCAGTGTTCCAGGGGACCTCACCGGCCGGCGACAAGCAACGCAGAGGTCTCACCCGCCAGGACGCTGGCGCCGGCGCTCAACGGGGCGCCACCCTGGCAGGACAGCTCGTGCCTCTGGGAAAGCCACTGAGAGCCTGAGGCCCAGGGAGCCGCCGCGCGAGGAGGGACGTGCCCTTCACGCCGTGGCAACGTGGACAGTCTGGATGGAAACCTCGGCGAGGAGGAAGCGGGACGGCTGCGGGGGAGCCCCCGGCGCAGCAGGCGGGGAGAGGCTTACCCGGGAGTGGGCCTCTGCTGCGGCAGCCGGCTGGGCGGCAAGGGCGGGGGCGCGGCCTTGCCAGCTGGCGCCCCAGGCGGAGCGGGCTTGCCCTGCTGGCCCAGGGCTTCCATGACGCTGGCCTTGGCCCCCGGAGCGGGCAGTGTGGGAGCCAGAGGGTCTGTGGAGAGAGGAAACGGAAATGCAGAGGCGGGCAGAGGCGCTGTGCCGTGGGACGTCCACCCTGCCGTCCCAGGGCAGGGACCACCGCGACCTGCGGCCCGTGTCCAGGCACGGAGACGTCACGGTGGGGCCTTCCCCGGGGCCCCGCGCACCCCAAATACACACTGGGGGTTTTGCCGAGCCCGTGAGCATCTTCGCAGCTTTCTGGCCTCCTCCCGTGCCCTGGAGGACAGCGGGGGGCTGAGGTCTGGGCCCGCTGGCCGCACCCCTGCCCCTGCCTGGGGAACTGGCCTCCTTGGGCTAGTCTCTCGGCCGTGCCGAGTCCTGCCCGTGTGCCAGGCTGCGGGGCCCATCCTGAGCAGGGAGCCCAGGGCCTGCGAGGCGCCCTGGCCCCTCCTGTGACAGCTGAGGCACCCTGGGGGTCCGGCCGGTCAGACAGGCTGGGCCTCGGCCAGGCCTCCTTCCCGTCGGCACTGCGCAGCATGGGGCGCTCCCGACATGCCCCGCGTCCTCCCTGGGGTCCTTGCTGGGACAGCCGCCGCGGTGTGGGTGTGGACACCAAGGAGGTGGAGCCCCCCTGTGGAGAGGCGCCCCCAGCAAGGAGGGCTCCCCCATGCCCTATTTTATTTCTTGTTTCCTTTCTCTCTTTTGAAGGAAGACCAAGAGAAGACTCCATCAAAATCCAAACTCCAAGCCCCGCGGCCCAGAGGCAGCCAGGCGAGAGGCGGGCGGGAGCTGGGCTGCAGGGGCCTTCCGGCCGGCTGGGCAGTCCTGCGCAGGCCCGGCGCCAGCACAGGCCACTGGCACCGGCTC